CAAACTAAAACCAGTTGAACAGACATTTATTGAGCAGCTCCTGTGTGTAAGACCCTATTCTGTGCACTGAGGATCCCAATGCAAAGACGAAACTTTCCCTGCCCCTCCCGAGCCTCCTCATGCTGCCTAAATTATCTTCCTAAAGTCTCTTTCTGACCATGTCGGAACATGTCAGAACTCCATCCCTCAGAGCCTATCCATTGCCTATGGAATAGAGGATGTCCTCACCATCCTGGCCTCCAAAGTCTTCCACCACCTAATCCCAAGCCCCCTTCCCAGCCTTGGTTCCCTTCACTCACCTTTGTTGCAGCTAGGCAGACTCCTCACCATTCCAGATGCCTTCTAAATTGATCCCACCTCCAGATCTTTGCTCCTCATTCCCTGAATATCCTTCTCCTTCCTCCCTGCTTCTCCAACCCTCCTTTCAAGTACAGCTGCAGCTCCACCTCCCCATCAGCCTCCTCTGACCAGACCAACAAAGGATCACTCCCTTCTCTGAGTTCCTAAAGCCCTTCTCTAGCCCATAGCCTTTCCTTTCTTAGCCTCTGCTCCCTGAAAGTGCTTCTGATCTCCCCCATTATCCCAGATACTCCTAGAGGTCAAGACTCTGGTCCCTCCCCTTCCTCATTAACCCATCTTCAATGGGGCAACTCATGAGCATGGACATTGGAAGCAGTTCAGGAAAGGTGATGGGTGGAGGGGGCAGGGATAAAGTGAAGGGGTAGCAGAGAACCTGCTTCCAAACTGATTCCCTAACTATCCCAGAAGGCTGTTTACCCTCACCCATGTCAAGTGGGAAGTCTCTAGCAACCTTAACTCCCTCTGTTACCAGAGACTAGATTGGGAGTACATGGACCTACAAAAGAAGCCTTATCTGTTATCTAATCTGCACATAACTTTGGGCAAGTCTTTGCCCTTCACTGAGCCTCAGTTTGCTTCTCTGTAAATTGGACTGCATGGTCTTTAAATCAGGAATTCTTAATCTTTTTTTTTTTTATCATGGACTCCTTGGGCACTCTGATGAAGTCTATAGACTCCTCAAAATAGTAGTTTGAAATAACTGAAGGAAATGCTAGGTCAAAATAAAGATGTATTTTTTCCCATACAAGTTCCCAGACCCTCTGAAATTTATCCATGAATCCCTTGGGGATGAGAGGGTAAGGATCCCTGATCTAAGTTCTCTTCCTATGAGTCATAGGGGTAACCCCACCCTTGACCAATCAAGGGGCATGAGGACAGATGAAGCAGCTCCCCCACCATTCTGTCTCTTTATCTCTCATCTTCCCCATAGGCACAGATTCTCCCCCCCCCCAGGGGCCCCAACCAAGCCTCTTTCCCTTCCCAAACTTCCTTCTGCTGAGAGATTTGGAACAGGCCTTAGGAACTACTAAAGTTAAGATAGGAAGGGAAAGGGGGAAGAAATTGAGGCATCCTGGGTAATACACATTTGGCAACATCAGCTCTGGATAAAGTGAAGTCAACAATCCTATCCCAAACCACTAAACCATGGTCACTCCATCTCTCATTATTCCAAGGGGGGAGGGGCCAATTCAGCCACTCCCTGGCAAGTGAGAGGAATATGGTTGAGAAACATTTCCCCAGACCCAGACTCTCTGCTGGCCTTTGATAGAATGGTTAGGGAGGAGAAATTCAAAGGCTTCCAGGGCTCTGGGCCCAGAAGGGAGATTCCCATTTGAGGGAAGTTGAGATGGGAAGAGAGGCAAAGGGAAGAGGCCTTTGAGGTCTGACTCTAGGATTCCTGATAAGCTTTGTGGATCAGCAGGGTAATATGAGAGGATCATCAGCTTTAGAGACAGAAGGAACTTGAGGGACTATTTAGCCCAATTCCTTTCTTTCATGCAGGAAAATACTGAGGCCTGGAAAGGGAAAGGGGCATATTCAAAGTCACTCAGAGCTGGGATTCCCACGCAGGCCCTCTGACTCCAAATTCAGTGCCTTTTGCATGATGCCATGGTGACTGACTAATTCCAGCAGAGTCTATGGCCAGACAGGGTAGAGGTGCTCCCAAGCAAGCCAGAGCCAGATCCCTGAAGTCTGGGAAAGGCTGAGCCTCAGAGTAGGGTCCCTGATAGTCAAGGAGCGTCTAGGGAGGTAGGGACCTAGTTCAAAAGTTTTCTTCTGCAGGGAAACACTCACACCTTGGTCTGAGAGAGTCCAGTCCCCATCAGCATCCTATCAGGTTGGGATGCACATAATGTGATGCATATGTCTCAAGGCCAAAAACCCAGCTCCATCTGTCTTCAAACCAACGAATTGTGCTTCTAGTTAGCTTTCTGTTTCTAGGGCTGATTGCTCATCTTTCTAACTAAAGGCTTATCATTAAGATAGAAGATCTTCCATTTATTCCACAGGAGGCCAAGAGCTGGGGGGAGAAAGCTGCCAGGGTCACACAATGAGTAAGTCTCAAAGCCAGAGAGAACTCCACACCCCCAGACCCAGCTTAGCATCACTGGAGCTGTGTAAGTGCTGGTTCAGCTGGTCTCTGGTGGACAACAGACCCTTCCTGAAGCAGGAGCTGGAAGTCAAGCTTCTGTTTTCCCTCTTCCTTGTCCTCTAGTAAATAGGGCAGAAGCTCTCATGAAAGCAGTTGACTTTTCCCTTCATTGCAGGAGATACCTAAATTCCCTGTTTGGGGATAATAGCTATCCAAACAAACATTTACAATCCCCACCCCTATAAGGTGTGGGGGACTGTTGCCATCTAGTTTTGGGGACAGGATCAATTTGTTTTCCTGCTTTTTGATACTTCCTCCCCTTAACTGGGAAAGTGGGTTCCTTAGTTCTGAGAACAAGAAACCTCCTTTATCCTCCAATCTTAGACCCATTCTCATTCTCAGGGAGATCCTAGATCTTAGAACTGTAGGTTACCTGCTCTTCAGTCCAGTAAGGTATCTCTGCCCATGGTCACCCAGGCCTTCTGAGCATGTGTGCTTCTCTGTCCTAGGGGTTAGAGAAGAACAGGAAGGGCCCTGGGCCTTATTGGTTGAGCTGAGTCAAATTAGTTCTTATCAGGCTGGTATCTAGTCCCTGCCCACCCAACCCCACTTCAAACAAAATCAGCGCCTGTCATACCTCATTCCAAGACACCACCCCCTGCCCCATAAGCTGAGAATAATAGCTCAGCCTGCTCTGGGGAGGAAGTCCTACATGGCCTTGGTTCATGCCCCTTAACATCCCTGGGCCCCATTCTAACCATGGGTGAAATGAAGCTAATGTTCTCTAAGGTTCCTTTCAGTTTTGACAACATGTGACCTTTGGACAAGCCCCTTATTTTCTCTGGGTCTCAGCCTTCCCATCTGTAAGATGGAAGGGTTAGAAGAAATGATCTTTAAGGTCCCTTTCAACTCCGACACTCTAGAATTCTGTTTGAGACACAGGGAGTGACTTCACCACTACTTCCTGCTCTGGAGAATTAACCAAGAGAAGCATGGCTTTCTCAGGATTGGCCATTTTTTTTCTCCTGCTTAGTTGTCCTTTCCAATACCACAGTCACACCAGGGGTTAGGTTTTCAGGAGGTAGGATGGGGGTGGGCTGGGCTAACGACCCTGGCTGGGGGGATGGGAGTAGGTTGGAAGGAGGGGATAATCCAAAAAATAGCGCAAGCATAAACAAAATGAAGCTTAACAGTTGGGAGGAGGGGCACCAACACAGGCAGGTAGGACCACATTTGCCATACGGGGAAACTGAGGAAGTGGGTGGTGAGGTGGGTGAGAGGAGAAGAGAATGAAGGAGAGAGACCAAGAGGGAAACACAGAGGCTGAGAAGAAAAAGGCGGGGGGGGGGGGGGGAGAGATAGGACTTCGAGAAACAGACAGGGAAGAAAGAGCTATCCCATAGTGGCGTGAGCTGCCCCTGGAGGTAGGGAGCTCCCTGTTCCTGGAGGTCTTCAAACAAAGGTAACATGACCACTGCAGCTCTGGAGCCCAAGAATTCTCCTTCTGTCCATATGGTACTGTATGACTGCTTCAGTCCCTTCCGGCTGTGAGAGTCTACTACTGAGAAAAATAGAGGGAGGTCGAGGCAGAGATAGAGGGAGAGAGATGGAGAGATAAGGAGACAGAAAGGTGGGGGGAGAAATAGACATGAGAGAAAACGAAAAGAGTGGAGGCAGAGAAAGGAGGTGAGGGCAGGACCGAGTTGCCTGATGCCAGGTGGACATGACTGTGGGACCTTAGCAGGGGACAGAAAGGACCCGAAGAGAGGGGAGTGAGGACCAGGAGTGGGACGGACACCACAGCGAGACACAGCCGAGAAGGCAGACACGTAGAGCCAGAGGGACGGGGAGCCAACCCTGGGGAACGATGGTGAAGCGGGGAAAGGAAACGGGAGAGGAATGGCGGGAGGGGTGGGGAAACTGAAAATATAGCTTTATATATTTATATTTGTATCACATTCCACACATCCAGTTACGAAGAGAGGGAGATGGGGTCAAGGTGGGAGACTGTTGCTCCTCTAGGGCTGTCAGGGGTGGAGAGTGGGGGAAGTTGAGTTCAAAGGGGAAAGACAGATTTCCTTCCCTCCACCCCACACCAGCTCCCTCCCAGGGCCATGCAAGGGTGCAGCAGGTGTAGCCTTCACCCTCGCCCCCCACGGCAAGGAGGCGGGTATCGTCCTGGCGCTGATGGTGGCAGCGCCAGGAAGGAATTGGGGAGGGGGAGGACTGCCTCCCCGGGCTGCGTCTAGGGTAGAGGGTTGAGGAGTGGACCTGGCCCTGGACCCCCGGAAGGGGGGCGTGGTCTGGATAGAGCTGCAGTCCACCCAGGCCCTGGGGGTCCGTCTCTTCCGGACCAGGATGAGGTCTATGGGACCGCCTGGGAGGACATGGACGGGGAAAGGTTGGTCCGCTTGCCCTGGCTAGGTCTGGGCTGAGTCTGGGCCGGGCCCTGGGCCCAGGAGAGGGGCTGCGGGCCGGCTAGGGGTGGGGTGGGGGGCGAGGGATGGGCCAGGACGGGAAGCAGGCCTTCCTGGGGACGCGCCGCTCAGTTGGGCAGCGTGTCCAGTCCCAGGGAGGCCGCGTGCTGCTTGGCCCGAAGCCGCAGGCTCTCAATGCTGCTGGTCTTACTGTTCAGCGCGGCCGAGGCGGCGGCTGCTGCTGCGGCCGCGGCGGCTGGGGGCGGCGGCGGCGGCGGCGGGGCCGCGGGAAGCAGCGGAGAGCCCCACACGCCCGGGTGGGCCGCGGCAGCCGCGGCTGACAGCGACTGGTAGTAGGACTGGCAGTGGAGAGAGCCCAGCGGTGCCATGTTGACGCCCAGGTAGGGGACGGCCGCGGCGGCGGCGGCGGCGGCGGCGGCGGCAGCGGCTGCAGCTGGAGGCGGCGGGCCGCCCACCTCGAAGGACGAGTAATGCACCAGGTTGTTGGTGGCTGCCATGTGCTGGCGGAACTGCTCCTGCAGGCGGAAGAGGCTGAGCGGCGAGGACGAGTAGGAGTGTGAGGGCCCCAGGACGCTGCCGCCGCCCCCGCCAGCCCCAGCGCCCGAGGTCTGAGGCGGCAGGGGGCCTGAGGCCGTGCCGCCTGGTGAGTCTGAAAGAACAGCCGTGAAGGAGGCCCGTTAACCACCACGAAGCAGCTCCCACGGCTGACCACCTGGAAACTTGCCCCTTCCCTCAGCCCGGCTCTCCGATGCCTCCCAGAGTGACAGGCAGATCGCTAACCTCCCGGGCAGCCCGGGGGCTGGAGAGGCAGGATTCTGGCCTGAGCGGGGTGTGGGGAGTGGCCGGGCAGGGGTGGGGGCTTGAGGGGTGGAGGGATACACTAGCTGCTTCCTCTGACCCCTTCGACAATGTATTTACCCGCAAAAGTCTTCTCTGCTACATTGTTTCCAAGATGCGGTCTCCCTACATAGTCTCCCTTCGTACACTTTCTGGTACCGCGTCTCCCAGATTGTCTCCCTGATACATTGTTTCTTCCAAGTAACGTTTCCTCTGAGCGATGATCTCCTCTGTTACATCACACTGCAAGATACTCTGTCTCCTCCCAGCCGCCTTCTCATCTAACAGCGATACCTTCTTTCCTTCAATACGCTTTCCTCGAACAGCCTGCCTGTCTGCTCTGATACATTGTCTTTGCCAATAGCCCGTTTCCTCTGACAGACAAACTGTCTTTTCAAACACAGTGCCTCCTCCGATACTTTCTCCCCTGAGAAGGTGTATTCCTCCTCCCCTCTCACCGAAGAAATACGCTGTCTACTCTGACAAATAATCCCCTCCTGATGCACTGTCTGCTTTGATAGCTTGTCTCCCCTGATACATTGCGGGCTGTCGTAGGTCGTCTCTTACAACACCATCCTTTCCCTTGCCCAGGTTCTCTCTCATTTTTCCCTCTCGTACAATTTCCACTGACACCCCGCGTTCTCTGATATTCCATGTGCTCTCATATACAGTTTCTTCTGATACGAAGATAATTCTCCCAATGTCCACTGTACCCTCGACAATGTAATCACTGATTCACCCTCCCCTCTGATGCTGCCTCCCCAGCAATGGGCCTCACGCATTCTCGAACAGCCTCAGCCCCGAGAGCTCTCCTACGGAGGCCCCGGGAAGCATCCCTCTCAAACGGGGACCTATTCCCTGCAGTTCCTCCTGCCCCGCCAGGGCCTCACCTGCTTTGGGGCTGCTCCTCTTGCAGCTGAAGCCCCTGCCCTCCAGGCCTGGACTCTTTTCAGTCTTGCTTTGCTCAATGGCTCCCCGAGCCTCCTCCTCCTCCTCCTCCCGGTCAGCCTGGTCCTCAGGGGCTGACTCACCAGCTGATTGCTCAGACAGGGTCAGATGTAGCTCAGCGGAGGGCTCGCCGGGCAGAGTACAGGACTGCTCAGACTCAGGCAGGACAGGAGCCTGGCCATCTGGGTTGGGGACTTCAGCTTTGCCCTCCCCGTGCCCGCCCTCGGCTTCCTTCTGTTTCTGAAGCTGCTCCTTCTGCAGGCTACGCTGCTTCTTACGGAACTTGGCCCTTCGGTTCTTGAACCATACCTTGCAGAGGAGAGGGAGGGAGAGAAGAGAGAGAAGAGGTGAGCAGGCCATCGGGGAGAAGAATGGAAGTGGGAGCAGAGACGGAAGACATAAAATGTATGTGTGTATGTGTGTGTGAGAGAGAGAGAAAGAGGGGGTGTGAGAGAGAGAAAAGGGTGAGAGAGAGAGTGAGAGAGAGATAGAGAGAGAGAGAGGGAGAGAGAGCGCGCATGGGGTCTAGTAAGCAGAAATCAGGGCAGGG